GACACAATGTCAATGGCTTAGTCAGCCATTGACATATTAAGCTACATATTATACTATGGGATAGATCGGCGTATATATGGATTGTCTTGGTTAGTACATCCACTGACCTGTGAAATGTCTTCCCACAGCTGGAAAACCACTTGTTCTTGCAGTGAAATGGCATTTTTATGGCACGTCTCTGTGGGAGCGGGGAGTTCCAATATGGCGGCCTACAGCTTCACTTTTTTTGGACTATCAGCAATCCAGTGAATAAATAAAGATCAGTGGCATGGACACACCATACTCACCTGAACATTGACACCTCAGCTTTCCCAGAACAGAGATCAACGGAGGTGTCAGGGCTTGCAGTCACGGTGAAGCAGTGTTGTTTTTGACAGCCATTTTAGATTTAGTCTTAGGGTATTTCCCAATATGTGTACTTGTATGTTCTCATGTACTCGTGTAATCGTGAAATGTCATCAGCCTCAGCCCTTGTACTGTTCCAATTTACAAGAACAGCAGACCGAGAACGGACAGAGTCCCCGGATATTATTCTCTTCTCTCTCTATTTACCAAGTATCAGAGCGGACTTGTCCGTTCTTGAGATTATATGGCAAAAAAAAAAAAAAAGCAAAAAAAGCAAAGAACAAAAACATTCTTCTTTCTACTTTGGCAATTTTGGCTTTATTTCTGAGAATTTCCCCAATGCTCAGGGGTCAAAGTCTATTTAAATTCACAGGGTTTTGATATAAAAAGGAATAGAAAATTCATGGCAATCCAGACCTAAATTAAATGAATATGCTAAATTAAATTCTGACATATTCAAAGTAAACATAGATAATGTTTTAATGACAATACAAGGAAACATTTACATAATATTCAAATAGATAGAAAGGAGAACAATGAGAGAGAAATATTCAAAGGTCTATTTACCTTTTCACCTGGCTCTTTATCCAAAAATAAACAGTATACAATGAAATATTTTCTTTGGATATAATTTAGGGATTCATTTTTGTAGAAATTAAAGAATGTTTAGTGAGCTGGTAGAAATAAAATCTTGATAGTTAGACAAAGGGATTTTTTTATGCTTGCTAGCAGATGATCAGCCACAAAGTTTATTAAGTACAGAGAGAAGGAAGAGCAATACTGCTGAGAGCGAACCTTTAGAGTGGAGCAGAAAGCGCAGACTCTGAGCCACACATGCGCAAAGACGCATTTTTGCACAAGCAAAACTGGAAGATCAGATCAGTTTGTCAGAGTTCATTCCGGGTTATTTTCTCCCCCGCCGCTGCTGGCATGATAAATCTGTGTGTGTGTGTGTCCAGTGTTACCTTAGTGTTTCTGATTTCCTGCTGTGCCTCTAAACCACTGAGCCCTCCTGTTCCCATCCGATCAGTTTGCCTGACCTATTTTTGGACTCCTGGCTAGTGGCGAGAATGTTTCAGCGTTACCTTAGTGTTTCTGATTACCTGATCCTTACCTGTTCTGCCTGTTAACCACTTAGCCTGCTTGCTCCCCTCAGATCTGTTTGTCTAACCTGTCTTTGGATTCCTGCCGGATTTTTCCTGTCTAATTAACTTGGGGATGTTTCCTGGTTCTGTATCCTGAACACGGCCTTGGCATTGGCTTTGGTTTTGCCCTCTGTATTATCCTGCTTACCTTCATCTGTTTAAATCTGATCTCCTGTCAGTTCTTTAATCTTCAAGGTTTTAGCGTCTGGATCTCTCTGTGTGGCAACCGCTGCGTCTTGTCAATGGAATCAACCTTGTTCCCTGGGCATGGACTGAGCTAAAAAACCAGGGTAGTGTCTCGCAAATTCATAATCATCCTCCGTCATTATCATGGTCACTAACCTGTATTTCTCTCCTGTAGAGGTTCCTGCCTAGGGAGCACTTGTCACTACTACTGCAGATCTGTTTTTAAATTAATGCTTTTTGAGTAATCCCACTGTCTAACTTGCCTTGAATACTGGGTCATCTGTTCTGAGCCGTGACAAGTACACTTCTAAATAAGAATAAATGAATCTTTAAAATGTCAAGGTCCAAACAATTGAATAACACTTGAAACAAGGTCTTTAAATCCAAAACCCTGCAGTGCAACTTAATTAAACAATTCTGCAAAACAAGTGGGCCACAATTCTTACAAATAATTAAGGATAAAGTTAACAATGATAAATACTGGATAATGTTTTTTAACCAATCAAGGTTAGATTAGTCTGTTAGTAATATTTATGTTCATTTGAAATCTTTAAGTGTCACAAAAAACAAAACCAGAAAAACTCATTAAAGGAGAAGTTCGGTTTTTTACACTTTAAGCCCATTTTCTGTAGCCTGACGTAGTCCGACTCAATTCTAGTCAGAATATGAGTCTGATACTGCTCCATAGAGCTGTGATTATGGGGCGTGTTTCGAACGAACCAGGAAAAAAAATGCCTCTGTACTCAATTGGATAGATCTACAACCAATAAGAGCAACGGAGTGCGTGACGTATGTTAAGCGAGGCATAGTTGTTGTCCACAAAAATCAAAGCGTGCAGTTTCGCGTTTCTCTGTTCCTCTTTTAAAATTAATTTGCTGTCGATATCTTCTAGAACAGACCTAATAGCAGAATCTACTCACCCAAACTCTCCAGCGGCAGCCATTATTGTTGTCACCCTAGCGCGCTTTGGTCACGTGGTTGATTACGTTACTCTTGATCATCTGTCCATCATCGTATAAAGTCTGCCCTGACAATTTGATTGGATCGCCTGACAGTGGGCTTTAATACTCGCGCTACTATGGAGCAGAGCCAGACCGAACTTCCCCGAACTCAAACCTTGTGGGCGGGGCTAAGTTCGGACTGGCACCCAGGCTACATTTTCTGTAGTGTCCAGGATGAAATCGAATGATCGACACCAAAAGTTTGACAATTGGTCCTGTCTCTGCTTTTTGGCTCATTTAGAATCACCCCCTGGCTGCTTTAGAATGGCTAGCATAGAGCATGTCCGATAATGTCCTTAAAACAACCTTAAACGTTCTTTTTTTTAAATATGCTACTCACCGGGTCGTCAGCGCTGTTCAATGACGTTCCAAAAAAAGTTTCGTAAAGAAAAAACGTTCCTGTAGTGTTTTATTTAGCATTTTGTAAATCCCATTGAGTTCTGTAGGAATAGTCAATATTCCGCTGCCACCGGAAACGGAAATGGGGCCTGTTTACACAGTTGTAGTCTTTTCGCTTCACTCTGTGTACTCCGACATCGAGGTGCTAACGTCTCTGTTAAACACTTTAAAAAACTCTGAAAATGGAATACGAAAGTTGGATTCTTGATTCTCGACGTCGGAGTACACAGAGTGAAGCGAAAAGACTACAACTGTGTAAACAGGCCCCATTTCCGTTTCCGGTGGCAGGGGAATATTGACTATTCCAACAGAACTCAATGGGATTTACAAAATGCTAAATAAAACACTACAGGAACGTTTTTTCTTCACGAAACTTTTTTTGGAACGTCATTGAACAGCGCTGACGACCCGGTGAGTAGCATATTTAAACAAAAGAACGTTTAAGGTTGTTTTAAGGACATTATCGGACATGCTCTATGAAAGCCATTCTAAAGCAGCCAGGGGTTGATTCTAAATGAGCCAAAAAGCAGAGACAGGAGCAATTGTCAAACTTTTGGTGTCGATCATTCGATTTCATCCTGGACACTACAGAAAATGGGCTTAAAGTGTAAAAAACCGAACTTCTCCTTTAAGGGAGCAGATGCCATTTCACAGTGCAATAGCTCAGTTTCTCCATGTTTTATAAAGTTTCTTTTCCTTCTGTCATACAGGTGATTTTTTTTCATTATTTTTCTAAAGTGGATTCATCTAACTCTCTGATGTAAAGACCAGACAATAAGCCTCCCCCTCAAGGCCCCATTAATGCAAAACCCAGGGTCTGCAGGTTTGATATTCATCGCCTGGGCAACCTCTGCCATCAACACATTTTGAGCCACGTGAGAATGATCACAGCTTATTAAAGTGGAAATAATGACTGCTCTGCCTCCGGCATGAAATATTTAACAAGGACAAAGGAGATGGCTCAAAGGTGATTTATATCTGTGTTGAAAAAGGAGCATGTGGACAATACCATCCTTACAGAAAGTGCATGTGACCCTTTGCCAACCTTAGCTAAAGAGTGCACTCCGTAGATGACTTTTTACCTTAATGTGAATCAGACAGCAGAGGGTGTTCTGATTTAATGTTTACTAGATATAACAATGATATTGTCATTAAAATAAGCAACTATGAGGACACTGCACATCCTTGATTTCTTCTCTTGAACGTGACTGCACACAGAGTAGTCGTATAAAAGCAGCTTTAAGATTGTGTTGAATTCTATCAATTCATAAAAATAATTTCTCTTTCCCACTCAGCTTAGAACATACACAGCATTCATTTCCTAGATGTGAGATTATTGATGTATTTTCCCTCCAACTTGGGTAAATTAGCTCTTTGGTCTCTTGGGAAAAATCTGGGGAGAAGGAGGAGAGCGAAAAATGTTCTCCATCAAGTGCGATTGAATTGGATTTCACAAGATAAATTGCTGGGACAAGAGTTTATCCCAATTACATTGCCAAGAGGCTCCAGTCCTCCTGTAGCCACTCTGCTCAACAGCAATTAGGGTCAGCTTTTAGTTACCAGGATCCTCCATTGTGAAAAGATGTTTACAGTCTGAGCAGAAAGTAGATAAATGGATAAATGGATGAAGAATTTAAAAGAGGTTTGTGGTCTGATCCAAGGACCCACAAAACTATAGATCTGACAGCCAAAACCTGAGAGGGAGAAAACACAGCTGTAACCCATCGGCCCCAGATTAACACTGCCCCTGGTTTCTTGTGGGGCCTCCTGTTCCCCCTCTTGCTTATCTTATGTCTTTGTAGAATCCTTCATGATTTGCAGATGTGGAAACTCATGTTGTTTTTAATCCGTCAAGAAGACCACATTTACCTCAGACACAGTAGCAATAAGACTGATATATGAAAATTATACTTCTCAGTCTTACCTTTCCCAGACTGGGGCCCCACAGATATCTCAGACTGAAAACACAGACAGCAAGCACCAGAAACACCACGGCCAAGACCAGAGCCATCCAGTGGTAGTTGTGAAATCTGGTCTTCTTTTGCTTTTCTGCTTCCACCTGTAAACAGTTCATAGTGTGTTTGTAAAACTTGTACAGGGAAAACGTAATGAAGCAGAAATCACCAGAAATATGATGTATTTAAATAAGAACTTTTCATTTGTGATTCAAAAAGAATGATCCACTGAAAAACGTATGTGGTTGTACAATATATGAAATACATGGTTGGGGCAACTTTAGCTTGAATAACACTAATATTTTAGTGTGGCATGAGGCACAGGCTTTAACAAGAAGATGATGTTTGTTGCGCTACAGCTACGTACATTCTTCAAATATCCCTACAAAGCTATGATTTTGTCTCATGAGGCTAAAGAACCTGCTTCACTATCAGACTCATTCACAAGACTGTCCTTAGCATACTTCAGCAAGGCTTAAAAATGTCTCTTCTGAAAAACTAGAGTTTTCTTTGGACAAAAACCTTACAAAAAATTCCTGCGCTGAGCTCTTGAGATTTTATCCTTGTAGATAAAGATTCATGACTTGGAAAAAAAATGAAAGAAGAAAGAAAATTAGGCGGTCAATACTTTTATGTACAGTTTTTATGTTAACATTTTTTATTTTTATTTTTTGCATTTTAAACACTTATCATTGTGTATTTTTTATTCATACATTTGCCTCTTGCATCTTTTGATGTATCCATTGTGCTTTCCCTTTAGTCCAGTTTTGTGCCTCAATTCGCTTTGGTCAGTTTGGATCTTTATGCTTCCTCATCTTCTTTATCATTGTTAGTAGAGCATTATTGTTTCTTATTCCCTATGGTTGTGATGAAAAAAGCATAACGTTTCCTTTTTTTTTTGTAAGACTGTATATTTAAGATTATTATTTAAGATGAGGTAATTTATAGAAATTTGGTAAAATCCAATAAGGTCCAGTATTCCCATTATCAGACCTTTCTAGCCTAAAACCACTGAATGTACCTTGAAATCGTATTTAGCCTTGAGTGTATTTAAAACACATGGCAAGATCTTACTTTACAACAGCATTTCTTTGCATTTCATTTGTAGGTTTATGCATGTAGGTCACTCTAAAAAAAAAGAAACTGTCTACTGAAAAGGTTAGCAGTGGCTCAGATAGAGAGCCAAAGGAAAAAAAACTCACAGCTACATGTGTCACGTGAAGGTTACAGTTATTAAACTTCCTTTTGCATTAAAACTCTGCCCGCTGCCAACAATTCCCCAAGCTTAAGGACACAAATTAATAAAGACAGTCTTTTGTTCCACTGGAGCTCCAGCGGGGAGAAAATGAAAACTTCTCATTCACAGCGGACCATTTTAGGGTCTCAGAGGACAACAGAAAGGCAGATACATGAAAAAAGGAGCTACGTTCAATTAACAAAATTGGTGTTGCTTATCTTTGTGTCTTTAAAATTGATGATAGTGCAGCTTTGTTTTTCTTTCGTTTTTTTGGGGGCTGAACTTGTGTGTTGTGGTTGAGCATATTTTGGATTGGTCAGTATATTTACATACTCACTCTTAATATAATACAGTGCTTTGAAAACATTTGTACTGCATAACTTACTGATATTTTATCATTTTAGAACCAATAACTTTAATATATCTTATCGTTATATTATGCAGTAGACCAACACTAGCTACTAAGTCAATTCAGATAAAATTAGTTTATATACATAGAGCCAATTAAAGCGGATGTCATCTTAAAGCACTTTAGAGAGATAATTCAATCGAGTCATGCAGTAAAATTGGTTAAAATTTGTCCATCTAAGTGAAAGCAGGCTGATTACGCTGAGTCATTGTCTTTACAGTAATCCCTCACTCCAAATATTCATGCAATGTAAGCATAGACCTATCAAAAAGTTGCAGGACACTGACCCTAAATGTATGGAGTTTGAGACCACTGCTGTAGTGAAAACTAAGTTTTGTATTTCTTAGGGTCTAATTTTTCCAGTCAATTTGAATAAAACTCTCTGCCAAATACATTAAATACAGAACATAAGTCTGGGGTTGTGACATAATAAAATTTGTATATTATATCTTCTAAATGAATGGTTATGTAAAGTATTTATTTGATAGAGTAGACTAACTATTCAGATTTAAAAAAAAACAGCTGTGCTTTTGGATTCTGGATAAAATCTTTAGCAGCCTTCAAAAGTACAATCGCTTTTCCATTATATGAAATCAACCTGAACATTTCTTCATTGGATGCATTTTAGAAATCAACCACAGAAATGTGAGGTACATAAAAGTTATAATAATCCTCAGGGCACAATGAAAAACAGACATCTACAGTAGCCTGAAATTCCATACTTGCTGAATTCCTCAGTAAGAGGAGGGGAAGAAAAATAGAAAGAACTGGATGAAATTCATTCTCATGTGGCAGGTTGCATAAGGAGTGGAAACTTAACTAGAGGACAAAGCTCTCACTGGCTGCCTTTGAATATAAAATGTTCAGTGGAAAAAGGTGGGATAGAAAGACAGACGGTCAGTCAGACAGAAATAAAGACAGGGATGGAACTTGAATGAGCAGTCTGAGTGCACAGTGCCCACCAACTAGTGTTTAAAGGTTTAGGAGTTCAGAATCAGTCAAGCAATTCCTCCTGAGCTCTGGGAGGAAAAGTGCCCAGAGCCCTCCTGTTGTTATCAAGCCAAGAAACAGCAAATTCTTAAGAAAACAACAGAAAAATATTCTCCTCGCCTACATAACCAACAAGCTTAGGCTGTGGTACACCTCACCAGGCCAGGCTCATATCCACATTTAAATTCCTGTGGTAGCTAAATCAGGCCACAGGTGATTTCATATTTATACCACTTTTGTCACTATATATTCCTGGATTTATACTTGCAAAAGCGGTGGCCTTTTCTTTAAAGTACAATGAAACAATTATCCCTTATACTCCTATATATAAGAAAAACAATGCGTTGATACCTGTTGCTGTATTCAATGCAAGCTCTACAAGAAATCAGAGCAAAAGGGTTTCAGAACAAAAGAAAATTCCTTTTGATCCTTCATTTTAAGTAGCAAGAACAAGCTAAAGTACATAAAATGGTTTGGATTAGACAGCAAAAGAAGGGAGATGAGGGTAAAGAACCTGAAGGATTTACCAGGACAAATTATAATTCTGTGAAAAGAACACATAGATAATTCTACAAGATATAAAGATACTAAAAACCAGACTACTAAAATATTTAATTGTAATATTACACTCCAATTTCACAATTTTTTCATATTTTCAAAGAACTACTTTTTGCACCTGCCACTAATTTAATCATCCTTAATATTTTAAAGTTCATCAAGTAAGATTTAATAAAATATGCATACAAAACATATTTTCAAGCTATCCTTGCAGCTGATGAATTAACTGTGATAAAATAAATAGAAAATGATAAAATATACTCACATCTTTCCACAAAACTTGCTGACTGCTGGACTGACTGCTAACCTCCATGATGCAAGCCCACAGGAGGAATCTTTCCGATCGTCTCAGCTGAGGAAAATACCAAACCGATTCGAGGAAAAGAGTCCAAGCTTCATTCAACTGCTGTAATTTAGTAGTGCACTGAAAAGGGAGGGGAGTTTGAGATGGAGTGGAATAACTGAAGAAGTTGTGTTACCCATTAAAGCAAAGCAGATGTCCCGCCTGCTGGCCCGCTCCCATTTTAAAAGTGGTAAAAAAGAAAGAAAAAAAAATCTGCCTGAAAGAGTAACCTTCTGTTGACTAGATTATAAACTATGGCTAGATAATAATACTGTAGTGACTTATCAACATCCCAATGTCCTTGAAACACAATGGTTAAGCAGAAAATAATTACAGTGGTTCTCCATACAGTCTTGGTAAAGAACTACTGCATGTTTTCACCAAGTAGAAAAGGGAGACAATGATAAATAATTTTTACATAATGTCCTCCTATAATATGACCTAGACAATGTGCAGCTAAACATAAGTAAATCTGTTAAAGGTAAATATGTAGGTAGAATAAAGCCTACAATAGCCTGGTTGCATAAATGTGCAAACCTACAAATTTTAACGGGTGTGAAACTTTAATATATTTATTGCCCATCCCAGTAAGGGTGGTAAATATGTTGCTTAATCATAATAATTGTCTGTCATATATTGTTTGTGAACACACCCCCTACTGTCCGTGTATTAGAACAACAAACAAAAGTGTTAATCAAGCTCAAATCAAGACCAAACAGATAACTCTCTGCACATATATGGAATAAATTCACCATTTAAAACATAACTTCCATTCAAAATATAAAAATGTTTAAAAATAATCCTTCAGCTCCAAGACGAACATATTTCAGTTAAAAACTCTTGACTAACCTACAAAATTCAGCTCAATTTAGCTGCCATGTAAACAAAAACATGCTTGGCTACCATAATTAATAAAATGGTGCAATGATACCAGAGTTCAGCATGCGTTTTATATTTGAGAACCAAATTTATCTTGAAGAGTTTGGAATATGGTCAAATTAGCTTTTAGCTAGTTAAGAGCAATTGTAATTCACAATGCAAATCCAATAAAACATTATTTTGAAAATATGTTTTATGAAAGGACTTGCTTAATCAGAAATCGATAACCTTCAGTTAATTGATTCTTAGCCTTCTTTAGTTGACCTAGAAGCTAGAAAGGAAGAGGATTCCCATTAAATGACTTTGCTTATAATTTGGTAATCAAAATTTAATGAGCATATGAGAAAGCACATGACAGTTAACATTATATTAGTGTTTAAACCCTTAGTGAAATAAAGTTTGATTTAGCTTCATAAACAACAGCTCTAAACATGTCAGAATGTGATTTAATTTGTTAGAGTGTTTTTACCAAACAGTAAACACATCATAGTATCAAAATCCATCAAAGAGACAAATTATTCAGCCGGAAACTCTTCCTGATTTTAGCTAGACATGTACCTCTGCTTATCAGTCTGGAAGGCTTGAGTTTTCTTCAGCATTTAGTGTTAGCAGCTTAGCATGGAAGGCTTATAGCAGGGGAGTTTTCTCAAAGTTCCCACTTCAAGTTAGCATCTTAAAGCTTTTGAAAACTCAGAAATGTTGCAAAATTCTGTCTTGCAGCAATTTGGTTCTGATGTCCACCATCAGACCCACTTAGCTTTTTGTAAGCTTGCAGCCTCTGGTCCCTGGATACGGAAGCCGTGATGCAGTCTCTGTGATGTGAAGAGCAGTCCCCAAATAGGAAAAGAAAGACCATGAGACATTTGCTTTGTCTTTAAAGTACAGTGTTGGGCAAAGGCGCACCTCTGTAGGAATGTCTTGTGATACTGTCTTTGGGTGGGTTGCAGAAGCATGAGTGTCCAAACAACAGGCAAACCTTAATCCTCCCAATCGAAAGGTTGTGTTTAATATAAAGCATGGACATTGACTCAAAATGTTTAAAATTATTATCATGGTTTATGGCACAAGAGAACCATGTGGAATTAGCTTTTGACTTATTTTTGACACTTGGTTTTTATGTCTTTAACAACGACCCCACATTACGTATTTCTAATTCACATCAATACTTTTTTCATAACCATAATTTCTACCAAAAAACGTTTATCATATTGGTGTTCGTACACATGAATTTTTCATCTGAGAAAAAATAAACAATATTTCTACTGTAATTGATGAAATAAGTCTAGTCTTATTATCTACTCTATTTTACTTTAATGTATTCTATTCTATTATATCCTATGAAATGTATACGTTATTACCATAGCCTATACTGTAATGCATGCTTTGAATATTTTTACTTTATTTCCACTTTATTTATTTTTTTTAAAGAATTTGCTGGGTAAAATGTCACACACAATATAAAAAAACCCAGTCTTTTGATGGGTTACTATGCTATTATTTTTGTTATATAAACATAGGCTTGTATTTTGATAGGTGTTTATACTTTTATGATCAACTGTGTTTTATTGGTGTTACCATATGTATTATCAACATACACTTTCTGAGTCATCTTGGACTACCTTCTCTTTGCTTTTGTTCCTCAATTGATTCTACCTATAGAAAAACTCTAAAACCAAAAGCTGAGATTGCTGAACATTAGTACAAAGGAATTAACTCTATTAAACAAAGAAATCTTCACTTGCACAGATCATACATAAAAACAAAAACAAAATGATTGAATAGTTTTTAAAGGCATAATAGTAAAGCTTAGCTTCAGCAAAACTTTTATAATGGAATACAGAAATCTAAAATGTAATCCTCCATCAATGACCAAATATTGTACCTTATAAAAGTGAAAAAAAGATGGATCATTTTCCATATGATCCCCATTCTTGGTGACCGCTGTCAGTCTCCCAAATTACATACTGCAGGCTGGCGTGCAATGGATCTCCTTGTGAAGAGAAAAAATTAAACCACTCATGCAAGTCTTAACTCCAGGGCTGCACGTACATCAGGAGTATGAGCTGTAAACTAGTTTTAAGGAATCACACTGGAGGGGGATGAATAACACATGCAGCAACTGGAGCTAGTCAAAATTTAACAGCCTCAGAACAGTGCAGGGTTCATTGCTAGATAACAATCTGGAGGGATAGATTATTTATTTTTTTAAACTGAGAATGAAAACTTAGAATGTGTCAGATCATATTTTTTTTGTTTATTATTAGGATATTTAAAGTGAATTATAACACCTGGAAAAAATGTAACACCCTCACTATTATTGGAAGATCAGCTAATTTACTTCAGGAAAAAAGTAAAAAAA